GAATACGTCCATTGCATTCTCCGTTTAATTTGGATAAAGAAACATATTCTGTGGTGCTTAATTTTGTGCACGGCTTGTTGTCAATATCAGCACGTCCATGACGTAAGGGCGTATCATGGTTCCCGCATGAGCTCCGGAAAGCATGGATTTATATGTAAAACAGGATTCACGTGGAAAATGAGATACGTCCTTAAGTCAGAGGGCGGACGATTCGATGTACAACTTCCAACTTCGGAATATTCTCCTTTCAAGACAGGCTCTTTTTTTCCGACGGGAGGGGTTTTTCAACGCGGAGATTATAACCTGAGGGGAGACGGCGTCAAGCTTATCTGTTTCACGAGGGAAGGGAGGAAATTTGATAACGGAACAACACAATGATGCGAGCAGCCTGTGTTTTCTTTCCGCGTAAACCCATTGAACTGTTCCCGAAACGCAAACGTGAGCGCAGAGATTGTGTTATGGCCCGGGAATAAATTACCATCATAAATAAGTATGCTCATTTCGCCCGGGAGGAGGCTATATATTCGCTGATGGAATCAACACATAAACGGTATTAACGTCCATTTTTCCCCAACATTGAATGATGCGTCTTTTCAGTTCATTGATCACCTGACATAATTTTTACCCCCCCCCTCCCTTCCCACATCGCAAAATCAAGGTAGATTTTTAGAGAACGGCGGGGCGTTCGATGTAGTCGCTATTTGATGAGGAAGGGCTTAGACCTGGATAAAGATTTTTTGAAGGGGGGGGGGTTGAAGGGAGAGCCAAAAAAGGGAATTTTTGGAACGGCTGTTTGGAGAAATTTTGTCTAGGATCCTGCAAGATCTGAATCTGAAAAATTGTGAGATCTAACTCTGGAAAAATTTAGTATAAAGCTTTGATATCTCTACATGAACTGCCTTTTAATGTAAAAACGTCGTACCTCCACTCGACTTTTTTTCAATTTTTTTCTGAAAAAATTATGTTTTGCAAAAAACCCAACGAATATTCATCGTTCATTTTTTCAATACAACTCCGCCACACCATTAGAAACTAAAAATGAAAAAAATTAGCCTCGTTGCAATTGAATTTTCTTGTAAAAGAGCAGTACGGGCTGGAAAAAGGGAACACATTTTGGGTGAAGTTACGGCATTTTGCTGTGGACGGCAGCAGATCTCTGTTTTCTCTCTTTTTGTTTTCGAGAGGAGTGAGAGAGACATTGGTTCATAATACGAAAACTATCCATATTATTTTATCTGAAAGAATAAAGGAGACATTTTTCAAGAGTAGTCTTGCGAGGATCCACTTCGAATGCTTCCAAGTATTCCCTTGCAGGCGGTCATTCACGATATCGATTTTCATAAAAACATGTCTCCATCGTAAAGAGGGCTTCAGCGACTATATTACAGTTTGACTCATCACCATCTGACAGGACATTTTCCTCTAACTGTGCCAGGCAATACTGATAAGGGACTTTAACTTTGCGTCAAAGCCGGGTCAAATTGACCCAAGGTTTGCTAAAAACAAGTGCGTCGCGGGCTGCACGGAGCTAGAACACAAACGAGCTTTATATGTAGGTCTACAGAAAGAATCAGACTTCAAAGTGAAAAAAAAAGATCCGTAAAAGATCGTCAACACGGTCGAAGATGTGAAGTACATACATACTTGAGCCTCGTTTTTCAACTTTCCCCCGAATCTGAACGACACCTCATTGGAAGCACAGAGCGAAGAGTTCACCCCTCGTGCCATCGCGCCTTCAATTTTTCAGATGCAACACGGATATCCAACGGAGTCTAATTTCGAAGTTCCTCGACGAACTCTCGGATACTTTTTGCGGGTTGCATACGCAGCCCTAGACATTTTTTTGAAATTTTATGGAGTGTAAAATTTTACTTTTCAGTAAAATGAAATTACAGTCCGTAAAATTTCATTTTGCCTCTTTGTTCCGGTGGCAGTCTAAAATATATTCGATGAAAATATTGGATGAATGATTCACTGAAATATTCCCACCAACTCGGAGTGAACCAGTGGCGAGACTTGAATAATCGATTATCGATATTTCCCTATTTGAAACTATTGTAGGTAATCGATTATTGATACAAACTATGAATTCGATAAACAGGGTTTTCGTAACGAACACCCTCTTTATCGATCCTTTCCCATAGGTTTAAGAAGCAGATCAATCGATGTATCGCAAAGCACGCCGCGCCGCGCCACTGGTATGAACTAGTATCTTTGTTCTCTGAGTATGTATTTCAGCGTAGCTAATGGATTAAAGTAATTTCCGTTCATCAGTGGTTCAGATTTGCAGACAAGTCAGGGTGATTTTTTGTAAGCCCGTAGCTCATGCTCCCGTGCTGAGGAAGAACGCCGTATGAATCTTCGAGAGTTGCCAAATCACCCTTGATAAAACATGTATTTTTGATAACATTCATGCAAATTTTGCCTTGAAATTTTCCGATATTTTAGATTAAATTGCGTACAAAAATGTCCGAAATTTTTGGAAAATAATAGTGGCAATTTTCCCAGGAAATTCGGTTTTTATCGAAGGAAACTTGGCAACGTCTGAAGGCTCATACGGCTTTCATCCGTAGCACCACAGCATGGCAGACTCTCATACGGTGGGTGGATTACGGAGGGTTTCGTTTTCACCCTTGCCTTTTACAACATCGAAAGGAATTGAAAACGTGTCGCTGTATATATACTTTACCTTTTGCACTGGACTCTTGCATTCTTTCCACGATGCACAAAGAAAAGCTAAGCGATCTCACCCTGACTTCTTTTTAAAGTTTCTCAAACGTTGGTCTCGTTTCATTCCGTTTCTACCTTCTCTCGAGCTGCCTTTATTCTCCGAAACAACGTAATTTCAACTTCCGCTAAAAACTTTCGTGTTCAGTCACCGTTCGGTGCTTTTACTTTAGGTGCGTTTTATCATATCCGGGGCTTACTTTGCCCTTGTTTTGCAGTCGCGCAACCTATACTATAAGATTGAAATGATCAAAATGTGTTCACGGTGGCATTACCGTAAACAATTGGAATGTGTGCGTTTTTGTTGCTGATTATGTTTGGGTGTCTCTGTTGAAGAAGACGGCATACTTTCCATTTCTTCACCGTAAACCGTAGTCCTCTGAAAATACTTGGACCGCGTTAAGCAGAGAGGAACCAAGCCACTTCAGCTATTGTCAAATTCCATTGGGCAATTTACTTTTTTACATGAAAACGATTATGCGGATTTGTATGCAAATCGAATTTCCAGTTGGGTGAACCAAGTGTCCCGTTTAATTGAACGATCCCAATTTTTTAATTGACGATTTGCGTTGTCCAGGAAGATCATCGATTTTTGAATCCAAGAATTCCGAGGGATGCACCAGAAACAAAAAAGAAACACACATGCTGATCAGAAGAGAGAAACGTGCATGTAAACTTAAAGATGGAAATGAATATCTCTGAAATCTTTATCAGTGTAGTATTAGTCGCAGGAAGTCAGCAATCGCCGGCAATTTGCAAGCTCCGTACTCGTCAATTCGTCAAATTGTAATTACGATAACATCGATATAATAAAGATTTCTTTACGCCTTCAAATCCAGCGATACTTTCCGCTTTGCCAAGGAGTTAGTTTAGTTGCTTAACCGAATCTAACACAGATTATTGATGAAATTTCACGAACTCGGGAGTGTGCTAGCTGGCACCATGTATCCAAGAAGAAGGGGCTAACGTATGTTTGAATTCGAAGCATAATAATCCATACTTCCAATCTCGTATTTTCACTTTGAAACTATTTAATTTGTTGATTAAGCACGAATAGATTGCAATTTGCCGGCGATTGCTGATTGCCTGCAACATATATACCTGCGAATGTTCGTGAAGAAATTAATGAGAAAAAAAATTACTGACTGAACAATCACAATCACCGCCTGTGCAAATGTTAATTAAACAATACTAAAGCACTTTATCGATGGTGAAAGTGCAGAAGTGCGAATCTCGGAAAACACGATTTTCTAGGAGAGTAAAAAAACTGTCTGCATTCCACTTTATCGTCGGTAGAAGGGTAATAATTCTTGAGAATTGCAAGAATGAGATGTTCTCCATCAGCAGTTTCAACAATTTCTTGAACTGTTAGAAAATACGGCAGAAATGCCGAGATTCGCGTTTTTGGCACTAAGAATCGACACTTCATCAGGAGAAACGCATTTTTGCAATTAGTGTTTTAAACTTGTTGGTGGATTTGGATCATTTAAAGACTGAAAAAAGGGTTTCACACTCAAAATTCCTCATCAGATAAGATTTATTTGGTCATCGATGCTCCATCCATCCATGCTTTACGCTTTCTTGATGGACCAGTGGACGAAGTACCTTTTCTTCAATTTTGATTATTCACAGTTAATCAAAGAAAGCTCATTTTATAAGTGCGAAACTTTTAAAATTCACAACCGCTTTTGAGTAAGTTGCAATCTCGTAAACTCGCGACTCTTTCAGTTTCGCTTCAGAATACGATGACTGAACCAAGGGACTTAAAATACACAATCTGATCCAGCCGCCTGCGCTCTCTTCTTTGAATTAAGACGTAGAGACCAAAAACAATCTTATTATTTTTTCAAAATAATATTTCTCGGCACTTTTCGAAAATGCGGCTCGATTTAAAACCAAAAATTATGAACTTTTTGGTCAACATCATTGTACAAGGCCATTCACAATGGATACAGAAGAGCGCCTTCAAATCTATCCGTAAACTTAATGCAAAATTCTGATACCACTATTCGTGCGTCACGGCAGTCATTTTGCATACCCGGCCATTTGAAGGCGAATCATTGAATTCAGGTAACGGGGCACGAATAATTACAGTAATATATGTAGTAACGAATTATATAGTAACGTTTACCGTCCGTCTGGCAGAATTGACTCTGAATTGACGCTGTGTGAAATAAAACGTGACGGAATGGTAAGCTCTACCAATATTTTTTCTCGGTGTGTATGCTTTAACAGATCTGATATTCATCTTTCTCTTTTTTTGTGTTTTTCAGGGTGAAAAGGAAAAGCGAGAGGGGCGATGGGCGCGGGTGAGAGGGAGAGGGGGCGGGGCGGCGGCTGAGGAGGAGGTGGAGCGGGATGACGTAGGCGCGGTACGAGGACGAGGCGGGATGCTGAGCCCGAAGATCCAGCGGGGCATCCGCGTCAACGAGAGTCAACTCCTCATGCTGGCCGACAAGGCGCGCCTCGACAACTCCCTCCAGGGACACCTCTACAAGCGCACCGCCAACAACACCCGCTGGCAGCTCCGCTGGTTCGTCCTCTATCAGGTCAGCCAGCTTTTCATCAATGCATTTCCCAGAAATTTGGCAATGACGCCATTCAAATTGGTCATAGTTTATAGCCTGGTTGCACGCTCAAATTTCCGTCAAATTCCGATCAAAATGATGGCGGTCGAGAGTTATCTAGATTGATGAGTAAAATTAATTAAAACAGCGTGTTGATTGAAATGAGCATGAAACAAGCACGGTTGTGTGGAAATCAGATGAAGGATGAGCCCCACAGCTCCATCACCTACCATCAAATTTTTGCAGGCCGCAGAAATTTGATGGTATATGGTACGCAACAGTGACCATTTGATCGGAAATTGATGGAAATTAGAGCGTGTGACCAGCACATTACATTACTGCCGGGATAGCAAAGAGAGCAGTATGTGTCAAATTCTCGAAATTGTGACTTCCTCAAAATTCGTCTAAACTCAGATGAAATCACTGAAATTGCTAAAACAGCAATATTCATCTGATTTAGCATGGAGAAGATAGCACTTACGGCTGTCTTGCCTAACAGTAACCTATCATGAAAATGAAAAATACCCTTTTCATGTAATTGAGATAAAATCAGTCGATTTTTTATCATCCAAACGATTTTTAGGAGTCTTTTGGACGATTAGTGGCAATTTGATAGAGAACGGAGGCTTTTTTCAATAAAAATTTCCGGTCAGAAGCTTCTGAGGCCGTTTTCTCAAAACTTCATATTTGCACTTACTGCTCTCTTCGCTATCACGGCAGATTAGGGAACACTGGAGTTAAGGTAAGATGTGAGAGAAACGAGCAAAGAGTCCTCAGTCAGCATCTCATGCCACGAAAACGAAACGTATTTTATCATAACGCCTGCGGATGCAACAATTCGGGCTCCATGGAAGTCCGTGTTGCATACCCACCGGAGTGAAGGCGTTTTGACTTACCGGACAGTCACCGCTTCGCCCGCTGCCCGGTGGCAGGCTGTGTTGATTGTGAGAGGATCCAAAATTACAAAGAGACTTCAGTGTTCTTCATTGATACAACAACAACAACATCAACAACAAAAAAAAAAAAACCAACGGCATGAATACAGTTACTCCCTACGCTCTACGAATCACACTTAAAGAATAATATGGTAGATTTTACCATACTCTGACACAGTGATACGGGTTGGGTGATAAACACCAGACTCCAAGGTGGCATTTACCATATCGTGGTATGTGTCGCCAAAGTTCTGGTGAATACAACCATAATTCAGGTTATTTTCACTAAATAGTATCACTGTGTAAAGAATCAAGTAGACGTATGGTAGATGTTACCATATTTTTTTTCAGTGCATGCTCAGCGCATCGTGATATCAAAACTAAAGCACAAAAGATTTCTCTCCTCTGCATCGAGCATTTGCTTACGAGAGAAATGTTTTCTCTCCCGAGCAACTAGTTGGTGCTTTGGAAAGAGAGGAAACGACGTCTTCGGAGATTAACCCTACCCCAGTCTTCGATTATAATTGATTGATAACTTGATTGCTGTCAAATCATTTTCTTCAGTTTGTATTTCAGCCAATCGAAACACTAATTCCCGTGTTGATTCGAGTGATGGACGGTGAAATAACAAAACGATAAAGTCATTGAAATTAAATACTCAATCAATTAGTACCTACCTACCATATACACTTCAAATACTCTGTAGCATACATTATTAATTCACTGATTTATTCATTTACTTATTCACCCAGTTCATTCGAAAAACATCAATAGTAGAGGACGTCTACTCAGAGGCAAAAAAGACCATAGTGCTTACACTACAATGACCTGGCTAAAATTTTACTGTTGTTCGATGAGATCAACATTCAAACGCTTAATTTTGTTTGCTCTTTCGTTTCAGAACCTGTTATTCTATTATGATAACGAGGCTAGTGAAAGACCTGCGGGCATAATTCTATTAGAGGGCTGTTATTGTCAGAAACAAATCAGCACGGACAAAGGCAAGCAAATTTCTGACAAGCAGGTAAGCAAACGACCGGCCTTAAGTCGAGTAATCGTCTGTACTTAGCAATTCAAAATGAGCAGAGAAAATAAACTAAATTTTTCAATGAGGAACCACTCCTTCTTACTCATCTTAGAAATAACATATGCACCTTACAGGATGTGCAAACATTTCAAAATCATGAGTTGAATGAATAACGCTGGCTCCGCCAGATTAAATATTAGAACCTAACACAAAGCGGAGCGGCGACGCACTGGCGCCTACAAACCTAACAAGGATACTTCACGCGTTGCGCAATTAGTGAAGTATTCCTGTTAGGTTTGTAGGCGCCAGTGCGTCGCCGCTCCGCTTTGTGTTAGGTTCTAATATTTAATCTGGCGGAGCCAGCGTTATTCAACTCATGATTTTGAAATGTTTGCACATTCTGTATGGATTATTCTCGTTTTAATTGATGAAAAAAAATATGTATTAAACGAAAAAATAACGTGTGTTTTATAAATATTAAGGTGGTTCCGTATCAAACTTAATGATTTCCAAAGCACACGAATTTCTACACAATTTCTTATAGCCTCTTATAATCGATGGCGAAAAAGCAATAGCCAGGCGATAAAGTGTAAAGCCCGGCTATAGGAACTGTAGCCTGGCTGCATAATTTTTTATCGCTTCGTATAGCCCGGCCGTAAGATTTTCTCCGCATTCTACAGCCAGCTATATGATTTTCTGTAGCCTTCTTTAGCCGACTATAAAGAATTCCTATGGTATTTTGAAACGCAGTTCTTATCGCCAATTTTTACCAGGGTATTTTAATTATTTAATATGGTTCATTTACATAGACCTATGTTAAATATTGGATTAATGATTAAAATAGGTCTTTTTCTTTTTCATTGTTGGTTGATTTTGTTTGTTTTTTCATTTGACCGGCAATTGTCGTGCATTGTGAAGTTTTTGGGCGGACTTTAATTGTCTTAGAATGGTCGTAAAACATTTGTTTACACTTCGCAATTAGTGATGCAATGTTGAGCTCTTGTAAAATATGGCTCCTTTTTCTCGAGGATGGACACAAATACTTTTTTTGCCGCCTTATAGCGGTGGGATGTTGATAGTCGTCGGTGTCTCCAGTGACAATCGATTGTCTCGATTAATAAATAATTTACGAATATAAAATAAAATCGATAAATTAACCCACCCGATTGTTAATCGGAAAAATAACTCATACCAAATGATCACTGAAAACTGTAAATTAGCATAGCTAGCACAGGTTTGCAGCCCCCCCGCCCATTAAAAATTTTGATAATTTTTACAATTGATCGCGTTTTTTGATTAATTAAGGATAAAGCAATTGATCACTAGTCGGTAATCGGGAGGTATCGATTTATCAATCGATAATCGGAGTGTTTCTAAATTCTTGATGCATGCTCCACGGCATTGAAGACACGTCCCGTCACTTCTTCGCGCCTCAAGGGGGCAAGAAATAGCTTGAACTTTTATCAACAGGTTGTTGACTCATATATCTATCGATTTCTTGTCAAGTATGGAGAATTTGTGTTCTCATAATATGGAAAAAATCCCGCTCAGTTTGAGAGTAAACAAATTCAAAAGTTTATAGTATAGGTTGTGAAAAATTCACATGAACATGATTTATCGGGGCATCGATTGTATTTCTTGAAAACCATAAAGTAAGAAAGGAAGGAAACCTAATGGAAGAGGTTAAAATGTATACCTCATATTTTCATTCCTTTTGAAGGCTGCAGAGAGCACGAGTTACATTCGTTTCAGTTCTATCTACTCCCTTCACCTGTCTACTGAAAAAGAGAGCTGGAATACGGCGGCACTCGAGTATACTGTGGAGCTCAAGCGCACATGAAACCCCTTCAATTACAGAAATATGCAACCTCAATTCGTAGAATCCTGAGCCGTGGTAATATTAGGACTCGAACACTGCCGTACTAAGGATAAATGCCATATGAGCCTTCAGGTGTTGCCAAATTTTCTTCGATATAGTTCGAAATTCCTGGAAACTTGTGGATATTTTCCAACCAATTTTTACAGGATTTCAATCACAATTGAATCTATAGTATCTGAAAATTTAAAGGAAAAATAATCACAACTCTCCTGACAAATTATCTGTTTACCGGAGGAAATTTGCCAACTCTCGAATGCTCATACTGCGTTCTTCCTTAGCAAAAACAGAACAGACCGACGGTGGGCCTCTTGTAAAAGTATTTTCGCTGCGCACGGGACGTAAATATAGACGAAGAAATGGAACCCTTGGATTAAGATCAAGGAGTAAATACGGTTTAAAAAAAAAAGTAATAGTAGCATACGTTCATTTTGAAGCGGTGCTTTAGCACCTATGATTAGCAACTCAAAGATAGAAAAAAAAAACAAACCGATTTTTCATTAGCTTCCAATTGATTTCAGCTCATTTTTTCGGTGTCTTACCGCGCAGACAATCAAAGGCACTACGAACTGAGGGCTTCCACAGAGTCGGACTGTAAGACATGGATACAAGCTATTGAGGCGGCCAGGTATTACAATTTCAATTTACGGTAGTACGGTATAGATTGAGACTTCATTTTTTTCAGTGTTTATGAGAGATAAAAGCGAGCATTCTCGAGTGGATGTACCGATACTTTCAAATCACGTACTTTTGGAGACATTAAATAAGATGTTTCAATAATGTTGATCCAATATTCGTCAATTTTAAATCGATTTTAGTAAATCCTCAGGTAAGAGCAAAAGTAAAAACATGCGCACGAATTTTCGCACATATTTAGGTGGCGGATGAAAATTTCACCATACTCAAAATAAAAGAAATGATAATGCTGCGTTTTTATGACTGTACATTTATGCAGTCAGCCCTAAATGCTGATTTAGCTACCATAGTAGCTATTTAAATATCTTACAAATGCAATATTAACAGTGAAAATGTTTTAAGTCAGTTTTGATTCAGTCTGAAAATAATTAAGTCATTTTAAATCTGACTGACACCCACATTTTTTTCATCCCCGCAGTTTTAACAAACTGTTACAAGAGAAGGAAGAGTTGGAGCAGAAACACTTACATCTACTCCAAATCGTCGAAAGTGAGAAAACGGAGAAATGGCAGTTTTACGTTCAGTGCGAAGAAATTCAACTGGAAAACAAGGAGCTCAAAGCCGAGGTACGTCATTGGCCCATTCTTTTCCAAAAAAAACTTATTTTAAAATATCGTAGCTACCCTAGAGCAATGTGCGAAAATGATGGACTAAAGTCTCTCGTGAGTTGCCGTTAGTTAGTCTATTACGTACCTCCTTTGTCCATTGTATCCACCCGTTTCCACCAATAGGATCCTTCCATATCCTTTTTTGTCTTTTCTGTCTATAGCTTTGTCTACATATTTCAACAATCAGCCAGCTGGTCAAGGAGAGGGTTCTAACCACCTGGAAACGCTTGTTGTTTTTTAGTCTGGATTACCCATTTTCTTGTGTTTTTTTAGCTACCCGATAGATCTGCCATTGTAGCGAAGAGAGCAGTAGAGAATTTGCAGGTGTCTGAAATTTGATGAATTTCGTGTTTTAGTGGAAGCTGCTGAGTGAACTGGACACGAGGATACCCTTGGTTCATGAATTGAACGATTATTGAAGAAGATATGACAAAATTATCTAATCTGCTAAAATACATGTGTTTAAATGGGAAATGCCGCCAGATGACGTCACTAGGCGGTGCATTTTCTCACTTTTAAATCTATTTTTATACTATTTCCCATAACAGAAAAAAACTATGAAAAATATTGTGGAATCAACTCTTTAAGCACTTTAAGATGAAGCAATAAAAAAATTGCATGCAAATTCTCCATTTGTCTAATCTGTTCTTTAAGATGAAATTACGGAAATAGCTAAAACAGTAAAATGCACCTTAATTGTATCAAAGGTTATAGGACACTTCGTCAACGATTTTTTGTCCGCGCACCTGTTTTTTACAGTAATTTACGTTCACGCGTTTTTTCGGCACGGGAGTTTTGGTCCAAGTGCCTGTTGAGACCCAAAGTTAATTGGCCCACATGTAAATACAAACGACAATTGCTCACGACGTTTTTCGATGAAAATATTTAATGTATTGGAAGAATGAGGGTTTGCTTGTTTTTTTGTTTTGTCTGTTTGGTCCAACGGAGAATAATACATAGTTGAGAGTTTTGGTGAAAATGGGAGAGCGTCAATTTTATGAGACAAAATTCACAAAAACTCTCTACACCTCTTTGGCGTAACAGGACTTAATTATCTTTTAAGAAATTCCCACCTCGTTATACCTGAACCGGATAAACCTCCATATTTGCCTCAGCCAAAGGCTCTTAGATTTTTTCTGTGTACGATAAGTATCTTGATTTATTTTGCGAGGAAAGATCTGTACTTTTGAAGGATGCCTGTCATTCTTTATACGTTCAATTTCGTATAATACTGTGCAACACCTCTGTTGTGAAATAGTTGCTTCAGGCGCCGCCGCAAGGCGGGCGAGCGGCCAGCGCGGAACGCGCATTGGCGCCTACAAACCTAAGTGGATACTTCAAGCATTGTGCAATGCGTGAAGTATCCACTTAGGTTTGTTGGCGCCATGCCAGTGAGCCTCTTGCGCTGGCAGCTTACCGCTCCGCTCTGTTCGGCTTTAATATTTATACTCGCATAGTCAGCGTTTTTTAACTCATGATTTTGAAATGTTAGTACACTCTGCATTCATTATTCTCATTTAAATTGATGGGGGAAAAAAACATGTATCAATTTATCAATGGAGAATAATAGTAGAGTGTGTGTTTTTAAAAATTGGTGGTTCCGTGTCAAATTTAATGATTTCCAAAGCATTTTAATTTTTCCTTTTATATTTTGTGCTTTTCTTGTGCTGCAGCGAGGTGTACGCGCAACGAAACGCTCAACATTTGACGCATTTGACTCTAAAAGATCGATGTACAAATGGGTTAAAACTGAAGATTGCATGCTTCTTGGTTTTTTTCCCTCTTTTATAAGCATGCAGAAGATAACACTTAGGTACGGCTGTCTTGCCTAAGATTAACCTGGCATGAAAATAAAAAATTCCCTTTTTATGTACTTGAGATAAAATAAGTCGATTTTTAATCATCCAAACGATTTGTACGAGTCTTTCGGACGATTGGTGGCGATTTGACGAAGAACGGAGGTTTCTTTCAATAAAATTTTCCGGTCAGATACTTCTGAGCCCGTTTTCTCAAAACTTCATTGGTGCACTTACTGCTCTCTTGGCTATAACGGGAGAGATGTATTAATATTTATTGATTGATTGAATGTTGACTTGTGGCAGTTGCGTGCGGTGAAGAAGGAGCGGGACCTCTTGTCGAAGCACAACACGGCGATGATGGGCGCCAAGCCGGGGCTCAACAGGGTAATCTCGAGCGAGAGCGCCGACTCCAACACCGACACCGACAATCAAGATAACTTAGATTTATGGAAAATTAAAAAGGTACAGAGCTTTTTTCGCGGCTGGCTCTGCCGACGCCGCTGGAAGCAAATTGTCGAGCAATACATCAAAAGCCCTCACGCCGAGAGCATGCGGAAAAGGAACAGGTACTCCCGCACTTTCATCTCATTACCCGCCCCCGTATCCCGCAACACTTCCGTGCTCAGGAAGAACGCCGTATGAACATTTGAGAGTTGCTAGATTTCCTTCGATGAAATTTTCATTTTTGAGGAGAGTTACGAATGTTTTTCATTGAAATTTTCAGGAACTTCAGGTGCAATTGCGAGCAAAAGTATCTGAAAAATTGGAAAGAAAATATCCATAAGTTTATCAGGAAATTCGTATTTTATCAAAGGAAATTTGGCAACGCCTGAAGGTTCATACGGCGTTTTTCCTCAGCACGGCAGAACAACTCCTCGACACACAGTGGGAAACCTTTCACCGTTATGAAGTCCTAGTGGAACCAATATTTGGACCGCGTTTAGAAAAAAGGAATCCAAGCCACAACAATTTTGCCAAATTTAACGTGTCAATTTAATTTTTTAGAAGAGAATGTTTGTGCGGATTCCTTTGAATTTTTTAAGGAGTTTGCTTTGCACAGTGCAAAAAATTCACTGAAATTTGCACAAAAATCCGCACATCTTTTTATGCGCGCAACGCAATGTTTAATGCGAAAAGTTAAACTACTCAATCGAATTAGACAATAGCTGATGTGGCTCGATTCCTTTCTGTTTAACGAGGTCCATTCATATCTGATTACTTCTTGCTACAATTTTTGAGGCTTATACTTTCTCTATAAAAGTCTGTATGAATTTGTTCCATTGTAAATTACAAAAAAAGGAAAAAAAATGTACAGCTAGTCAGTGAGAATGGTTAAAACATATTATGGCAGCTTTTAAAACTTACAGACTTGCAACAATGGCAACGGTTCACTTTTTTACACATCACGGACATACTTTTTTCATGCTCTTGTAGGAAAAAAGTGCATCGGCATATAAAATAAAAAACCAACAGAATGCGCCCTCTAGCGGGAAAACATAAAAAGCACACTCTGTTGGGTTTCACGGCGTATTAGAGCGCAAAGAACATGAGTCGCTGCAGGTGGATTTTCATAAAACAGACCCCTCAAGGTTGCCACGTTGTGTGCTAAACTATCCTAGGAGTAATTAATTTTTTTTCGGCTCATAATACGAACGGCGTGAGTGCCATTAGTTTCTCCTTACATTTAGGCGATTTTTTAAATGAGCTTGAAAAGTGTTGATTTTTCCCATGATTAGGAGACCCATGGGCGTGTCGTGCCTTGCAATTCATCGATTTAGGTAATTAAAACACATAGAAAACAATTAATTGTTACGGCGGATCCACACACTTCAAATGGGGGCAAGAGGGCGGAAGGAGGGTTCGGGGGCTTGTCCCAGAAATTTTTCAAATTTTTAAACGATCAAATATTCAGTTTGAGTCCATTTCGTCATAATAATGTACCAAATATAAGCGTCCCTCCCTTTTCTTTCCTACTTTCCTTCCTTCTTTCTTTTATCCTTTTTCTTCCTCCTTTTTTCCGGGCAAACGCGAGAGGCGCCCCCTTCCTGGATCCGCCCATTGTACACAGTGATCTTGAAGCAAAAGAAATAAAAAAAAAAAAANAAAAAAAAAAAAAAAAAAAAAAAAAAAAAAAAAAAAAAAAAAAAAAAAAAAAAAAAAGTGCTACCAAAATGTACCCAAAGACGGGTTGCAGGGGGTGCCTCTGTGGTAGGGGTGGACTCAAATTCAAGAAAAATCAAAATCTTGGCTGATTTCAATTTCGAGATATCGCAATTTGAAATTTTCATAGTAAATGCAAGTTTTCTACTGGTTTTGATCCGTTTTTTTATTTCTTGGTTTACTGAATCGGTGTTAATCGGTTCACGTTTTTGTATTCACTCGATTCATGTTGATAAAATGCATACCCTCTCGTTACATGCAGACTGCCTTTCATACACTTTTTTTTTAACCGAACAATTCGCCTTCTGCTGCGTCTGCAGAAATTGTTGTTACAAATATGTTGTGCGTGCTTATTATTGTTCAATACATATTTGACTCTCTGAAGGCGTTTTAAATGCGAAAGCAATTCGCCTTCAGCTGCGTCTGCAGCAATTGTTGTTACGAATATGTTGTGCGTGCTGAGGTTAGCTAATTACATACTTGACTCTCTGAAGGCGTTTCATGTTCGCAAGTAGCGCAGTCTGTCGGAGAACCAACGAAGTAGGGTTTGAGCGATTCTTTCAATCTCACTTCTATTGTTCTCTAACAGAGTGCGCCACTTGCGCACATAAAACGCCTTCAGGGAGTCAAGTATGTAATGAGTTGAAATCAGCACGCACAACATATTCGTAACAACAATTGCTGCAGACGCAGCAGAAGGCGAATTGTATTCGGTTAAAAAAAAGTGTATAAAAGGAAGAGTGAGGGTAACGAGAGGATATCTATTCGACCGACATGAATCGAGCTAAAAATAATAACGGAACAACAAACGAAAACAACCGTAAAATACACGTTGAAAAAGATTTCAGCGCTTCAATTAAAATGTATTTACCAATAAAGAGGTGTATTTTATGGTCTATTTATGGGTGATTCTCGAAAATTTTTCAACATAAACCAAAACATAAACTAAGTTTAAATGCAAAATAAAATATTACATTTAAAATAAAACATTTGATTTTTTTTTATTTTGATTCCACGCGTACCATAGACTCACCCCCTATAAACAGTTTTTGGGTACATTTTTGTCGCATTTTTTTTGCTTCAGGATCACTGTGGGTAATGTCCCTGTCCTGTCGGGCATTTACATCTAAAAATTACGGTAATCGTTCTTTCGATGCTCCGATCGTTTCTTTAATCCGCCTATGAGCCACTAACCCATTCTGCCGTGCTAAGGAAGAACGCCGTATGAGCCCTCAGACGTTGCCATCTCTCCTTCAATAAATAACAAATTTACCGAGAAAGTTGTCAACATTTTCCTTAAATCTTTCAGACGAATTTGACCGCAATTTAACCTAAAATATCTGAAAATTTCAAGGAAAAATAAGCATAATATCCTAAAAAATACATGTTTTATCCGGAGAAATTTGGCAACTCTCGAATGTACATAAGACGTTCTTCCTTAGATGATCGTTCTGATGATTAATATATATATTATTCTACCTCTCCTTCTCTATTGCTAATGATTAATATCTTTTTTTACTTATAGATTTAATATATTTAAGTGCTGTTTTATGTCAGCACTTAAATATTAATAACTATATTACTTTATGTATATATTATTCTACCTCTCCTTCTCTATTGCTAATGATTAATATATATATTATTCTACCTCTCCTTCTCTATTGCTAATGATACACAGCATTGTGTCCTGGAAGTATACCATAACAGTGAGTTTTCGTGATTTTTCAGTTTGGTTTTCCGAATGGTTGAGGCAGAGGAGGAATACGTGGAGCAGATGGAGACTCTGGTGGCTTGTTTCCTGCGACCCTTCAAAATGGCGGCCAGCTCGAAAAAACCGCCGTGCACTCACGAGGACGTCAACTCGATTTTCCTCAACAGCGAAACGGTGCTCTTCCTCCACCAGATATTTTTGAAAGGATTGACTTCTCGCATGGAGAGTTGGCCAACACTGGTTTTGGGTAAGTTGCTGATTGGATACAGCGATGTTATACCTGCAATGGAGGGGCTCGGAGGAAAAGGTGCATAAGTGCAGTTTTTAATATTTCAAGGAATACGTGTATAAAGTTTCAAAATTACATGAACCCTTACGGCAGAAAGAAAGTTTAAACTCACTTGTTGATACTTTAAAGTTAAATTTTAGTCGTGAATTTTTCACAGAATATGCTTTCAAACTAGTTTTAGTTGAGTTCATGAATATCTCAATTTTTTCAAAAACTGCACTTAAGCGCTTTGTTCTCCAAGCCCCTAAATTGGACTACATTTTGCAATTTGGAACTATAAATTCTAGCCCGGTTTAAAAACAACATATGTGCCATTAGTTTCCCTATGCACATTAGTTTTTTCTAGAAGAGCCAAAATTTATAGTTCCAAATTGCAAAATGCAGTCCAATTGTACTGTATAGAGGCTCAACGTCACAGAGCACTGTGAAAGCGCTTCTTGTGTATGTATGTGTCCTGCATGGACAAAAATCTGAAGTTTCTCTCATACTCGATCGAGCCTTTCTTCAAAGTGAAATTTTTAGCTTCCAGAACTTAAAAAACAAAAATCCCGACGTTTTATCTTTTTTGCCTATAACAAGTTCGATTACTCCAGTCTGATTATTAAAATTGATAGACAAAGAAGACAATGGGAAAACGGAGTGATCTAATTGGACGAAACAGATGCTTTTTATAGACTGAGGGAGAAAGTGATGAGCTAACTATAAGATATATCCATGGGGTTGCCGGTCCATTACTCACCGTCTTTTACCTTTGCAACCACCCGTCCCGAATAGGATCGCTTCATTTTCTCTTTGTCTTTTTCGTTAATAGTTTTGTATATAAATGTCAATAATCAGCCCGCTGCACCTTAAAAAAGGCGTGGATTTGAGAACTGATTCTCATGAAATAATTAGCGCAGAGTCTGAACAAGCGAGACAAGAATTTCTTCCTCGAAACGAGTTTCTCTAGGAGAAAAACTCTCCCGAAAATTGGTCAGTGTTGGGATGAAATCGAAGTATTTTTAGACTTGTACTAGAAGTAATTACACGCGCTATTAATTACACCAGAATAAATCATTAGATCCCCAGCGTGTTTTAAAAACATATTTTTGGGAAAATCTGTGTTATTACCGTAGAAAAAAGATTTCTAAGTTTGGATATTGGGCCTTGATGGATGGGCAAGAAGGTAATGGTATTTTGGTAACGTAAGTTCTGGTAGAGTTTGCCTGTCATTGCTCTGGTAGATGTGAGAGAGTATTTTAAATGTACTTACTCGGGCCTTAGATTACGTTCACCTTGAAGTCTACCCGAGTCAGTTCACCGCACTTTTATTTCCGTGCATGACTGTTTGCCGACTAATGTGTTGCTTTTGTTATGAATTCGAGCAGGTGATTTATTTGATATGTTGCTGCCAATGCTGAATATATATCAAGAATACGTTCGAAATCATCACTTCTCGTTGCAAGTGTTGACCGAGTGTAAACAATCACCGCAGTTTGCTGCCCTCTTAGATCGGCTGGAGAACAAGCCAGCTTGCCAAGGCCGATCTTTGGAATTCTTCCTCACCTACCCGATGCATCAGGTTAATTTCCATCATCAGTCAAAAGTTGAAAAATCTTATTCATGTAGAATGCTTGAAAGTTTTCAATCAGGTTTTATTTATCGATTTATTTATTCTCTTTTAGAAGAAAACAGACACAAAACGTCGTTTCAGGCACGAAGGAGCGTAACTCCATTCTTAAGTTATGCGAATTTGACGTAAACAATTCAATTTTTTACGAGAGTAAACTTGCATCATTTTCAAAATCAAATATTTTATTTTAAATGTAATATTTTATTTTGCATTTAAACTTAGTTTATGTTTTGATTTATGTTGAAAAATTTTCGAGAATCCCCATAAATAGACCATAAAATACACCTCTTTATTGGGAAGTACATTTTAATTGAAGCGCTAAATTGTTTTTCATCGTGTATTTTACGGTTGTTTTCGTTTGTTGTTCCGTTATTATTTTTAGCTCGATTCATGTTGGTCGAATAGATGTCCTCTCGTTACACTCACTCTTCCTTTCATACACTTTTTTTTTTAACCGAACAATTCGCCTTCTGCTGCGTTTGCAGAAATTGTTGTTACAAGTGTGTTGTGCGTGCTTATTATGGTTCAATACATATTTGACTCTCTGAAGGCGTTTTAAATGAGAAAGCTATTCGCCTTCAGCTGCGTCTTCAGCAATTGTTGTTACGAATATGTTGTGCGTGCTGAGGTCAGCCAATTACATACTTGACTCTCTGAAGGCGTTTCATGTTCGCAAGTAGCGCAGTCTGTCGGAGAACCAAAGAAATAGGGTTTGAGCGATTCTTTCAATCTTACTTCTGTTGTTCTCCAACAGGGTGCGCCACTTGCGCACATAAAACGCCTTCAGGGAGTCAAGTATGTAATGCGCTGAAATAAGCACGCACATCATATTCGTAACAACAATTGCAGCAGATGCAGCTGAAGGCGAATTGCTTTCACGCATAAAACGCCTTCAGAAAGTCGAGTATGTAATTAACTAAGCAGAAGGCGAATTGTTCGGTTAAAAAAAAGTGTATGAAAGGAAAAGTGAGTTCGAGAGGATATCTATTCGACCGACATGAATCGAGCTAAAAATAATAACGGAACAACAACGAACGTCGTTTTAGGCACGAAGGAGCGTAACTCCATTCTTAAGTTATGCGAATTTGACGTAAACAATTCAATTTTTCACGAGAGTAAACTTGCATCATTTTCGTTGATAATTTGTCTGAATTTTGCTTGAAATCAAAAGAAAAATTGGCGACATTTTTCGGTCCGACATTCTCAAAATTACCCCGGTAAAAGTGTACTTTGCGCGGAAAAAATTGGCAACACTGAAATGCAGTTTTGTTCTTTCGTGAAAAAAACGACACAATATCTCCCTGACACTTTGTGTTAATGTTTTCAAATGAGTGAGGCACAATAAGCTATTTCAATCATTTTTACGTTTAAATTTTTGGAACGGGAAGCGTGCACTCAGTTCTCTAATTTTTCCAATTTTTGGAACGATAGAATCCCGCGAAAAACGCTTTCAAAGTTACGTAATTTTTCCTCTAGTCACGGCCGCTATCTCAATCGCGAGAGTTGCCTCCGCCGGAATTAATCATCTGTGCAGCCGTCAAAGAGACCGTAAAACCCGCAACTTCGGAAGTTACTTTATCTGAAAAAAAAAAAAAAAAAAAAAAAAAAAAAAAATTATTCCAAATAATTTCATTTTACTAAAAAAAAGTGATACATGAACATGCAGTACTATCATGGTCACTTACAAATGTAATGTTTTACAGGTTCCTCGTTACATTATAACTTTGCACGAACTTCTTGCTCACACACCGCACGATCACGTGGAAAGAAAGAGTTTACAGAACGCGCAACAGCAACTGGAAGATTTGTCCAGGCAGATGCATGATGAAGTAAGTAGAAGCAGCTCCTTCGAATTCACAAAAATGAGTACACATAAGTGCATCACCTGCACAAGTACGGGCATGTATTTTGATGCGCTGATAGCGCAAAATGTACCATATTTTATTTTAGAAATGTACCACTGACAAATTTTCTTACCTTTGAAACTTCCCCGAAGAATGTTCCAGACACATCAAACGTTTCCACATTCTTAAGAGTCTGAGAGTTCATTTTCTTCAACACCCCTGTACAGTTAAACATCACTATGTTTGTCGTTACTTTGAGTTACTTTTTTTGGTCTGCAGATTAACCAAGAGGATTTGTTTGATCGATCTTTTTGGTTAAGGTGGCTGAAACCGTAGGTTATTCCGAGCGATGAGTGGATGAAGAAAGTGTCCTGCTAAACTACTTTCTCCCAATGACACTCAGCAATTGTTTTCCAAAAAATTATAGAAAAAACCTTGCGTTGTCTCGGGGTCCATGAGGCATTTTTAATTAGTGCAACAGAATACACTTTCCTCGAGGAGGTGCTCTATCGACATCAAACCTCGCAAATTCTGCTTCGTTACACTGAAAAAAAATTCTCGGCGTTTTTACCAAGGTCCGTTGATACTTTTACCATCTCACTTTTTTACCAATGATTGGTTATTTTACCAAGACAAACTGGTAAGCTTACCTAAAAACCGGTATTTTTACTGTTTTTTTTTTGGTAAGAATACCACTTTTATTGGTAATCAATTCCCGGTAACTTTGCCATTTTATCTCGGTAATTCTACCACAGTCCATAAAAAATATTGACATTTTTACTAAGGTCCAGTAAAATTACCGAGAAAGTTCAATAATTTTACCAAGATTTCTCGGTAATATTACCAATTCCATAAATGGTAATTTTACCAAGAAAAAACTGGGATCAAATAGAACCCTGAATTCTTGGTAATTTTACCCTTTTTTTAGTAAATACACCGAGATTTTTTTTTCAGTGTATAATCGATAGCAGCGATAGTGCAGATCAGTGTTGGGAAGCAATACGTCCTATTTCATGAACGAGTCGCAAATAATGGAAAAAATAAAGTCAGCGAAATCAAATCTCCTACCACGACTTTAGCGACAATAAAACTTCTTCCAGCAGTCAGTTACATTGAATTTCTTAGCGTTTCTCGGGAGTTCGAGGGAGGTTTCAAGTTGAGAGGCAATTCAGAAGAATAAGTTACCAACTTGCTTCCGAGCTAGCATTGGCGTCACCGGAAATAAATTGAAATGTTCAGTGCTTCCCCCGTCCTATACCTCCACCATTTTTGCATCTTTAGATAGCACCGATCTCTCCAAAACACTGCTTCTCATTTTCTTTCTATACGTGCGCCTCCCGAGAATAAGAACAGACTGGATAAAAGGAGAAAATTAATATGAGGAGGTTTTTTTTTTATTGTCATTTTCATTTTTATAATCATTATCGAAATAAGTAATCCGGTTATTACTTTTATATGCCCGTATATACATAATTAAGATAATTGTATATATTTCCTCCTAGGAAGGTCACAATAAATAAACTCTTTAAAAAAAAATTGTCATTTCTCTAAACCGGAACTGATGCTTACTCTTGATTTCTGAATAAAAAATCATGAAACGAATCAAAATGATAGCACTCTAATCTTTTTTTTTTTAAAAAAAAAAAAATTGAAATGCACATAGTTTTTAAGTCATGAAATTTTTCCGCTCAGAATTTTCCAGTCCATAATCGGTAAAAAAATTGCAAACAAGAAATGAGATATTTCATGGGCTGAATGAAACACAGTTTCATGAAATCACATTTGATTACAAACGTTTGTGCTCTCCTGGTCGGGTAGCTAAATTTTTTAACATGAAAGTCGGTTTGTTGCATAAGCGCAAAATTGAAGGCAAATTATGCCTCGCAAAGCAACCGCAAACTGAACGGAAGATCACTGAAGTCCGAGTATGTTACCGCTTGATTCTTATTCGTTAGTTGTTTATTTAAGTTACACTAATTACATTCGTGAGTCTATTCTGTGAGTATATTTTAATAATGTAGCTAAATTGGGATTAAAAATCAAAATTAACCCGCAATGCAATTTAAGAATCAAAGACACGGACTGTATCTACTTAATGCAAGAGAAGGACTCATTGAAGAGGATATTGCCTCTACAACGGCCTTACCTTCAGAACTTAAAACTAGAATAGCCTCAGATCCTGATACAGTGCGGTAATATTATCGATATGACACATTTAAAAAGATACTAGGGGATACGTTTCCTGACCACCTCACAGCCCACCCTTAATATCGCTTCGCGTCTCAGACGTTATGTTTTACGCTTCACTCTTATGTTTCTTTATTATAGAGTAAAATAAAGACGGGCTAATTTTGATTTAAGATTACAATAAATGTAGAAAATTAAATATGAATGTGTGTTTAGTGCTTATAATATTTTTTTCTTTTCTGACCAATTTAATTTTCCTCCGCAGGTAAGCGAAACAGAGAATCTGAGGAAAAACTTAGCTGTAGAAAGGATGATTGTCGAAGGCTGTGATATTTTGCTAGATGTCAATCAAGTTTTTGTCCGACAAGGTTTGACATGAATCATTATCAACCTCTTCACGCTAATTAATTTCTTTTTAATCAAACGCTGATGCAAAGAAAAATTTTGTAAAATTTTAATATCGTTTGTTTTTGTAAATAAAAATATTCGTGATTTACATGGCAAGGCAAGTTCCATCATGAGGCTAAAAATCATTTTAAGAAAACAGTTAAAAGTATGCGTTGGAGCTGAAGATTTCTTTCAAATATTTTCTATGGGTATCGTCAGTTAATAACGAGCTAAATTAATAAGTAAGTTGAAAGAGAGAACTTACAGACCAGCCACTTTCCCTTCATAGCAAATTTAATAAATATGTAGCCTGTTCAACTCTTAGTTCCTACGGCTACTACAACCACGGTAAATTGATTTTCGTATCGAAAAGCATAAAATTGTCCGAGTATGTATCTTTAAACTTCGTTTTAATAATGTTCAAACTTATGTTTAAACAATATTGAGCAAAGAATTGCATTTAAAGTACATGCCCGCTTTTTTAATGTGTAAGAAATACATTTCCATCAGAAGATTATTAAGTATTTAAATTATAATTAAAGGAGTTAATTTTTAAAGTCCCTTTTGTTTAAATTTCCAGGTAGCTTAATCCAAATACCAACAGACAAGGAGAAAAGTTATTTGAGTCGGATTGCTCATTTTAAGTCAGAAAAAGAAGCAATATGCCAGTGTTTTCTATTTTCAAATCACATGATTCTCACTAGAAGGTAAGACTCGGTCAAGTAGATTGAATTTCAATTTACTCGTATTACATTTTTATTTGTGTTATTTCTACATTTTTAGCTTTTTACGATATCAGTCATCTCACTGCCTGCTTCTTATTGATACGGCCATATAGAGTATTTTTGTTAAAATTATGTAGAATCCTCATTGCTCGCATACTTTCGAAGAGCTCAGTCAATAAACAAGTGGACATGTTTCTGCTGAACGGAACTAAGCGCCAATGAGGGAAGAAGGGGAAGGGAAGGGGGGTCCGATCGGCGGATGGTGCGGAACGCGGACCTCATCACTCCGTCCTGTGCTCACAATGCTTTTCAATTGCGCTTAGTTCCTTTTGACAGAACGCGCCATTCAGGATTCTAAAGTCCTCAAAAGGAACTGAAATTGGCGCTTAGTTCCGTTTGGCAGAATTACGTTCATCTTAAGTCACTTGTAGACAATTTTGAGACTAACGAGGTTGCTCTTTGGACTGAGAGGGTTGAAAATGGACCACTAGACAAGGTACGAATTTAAGCAATCTGATACATGTTTCTTAACCAGAATTTCACGTAGAAAACGATTCACACAACGAAAATTACGGAAACCAACTCCTAACGAAGATATTAACGTTTTTATTTCACATTGGTTACGAGGAATTTGAACTGCCCGCTCACAAGAAACTCAAAACTCTACGTGAGTCAAATCGCCCACTACAACGGTTTCAGCAAGCTTCTCAATCGAGCAATGTTCATTTCCCATCATGTGTTGTTCAAACTATTGGCAATTTGCTATAACTGAGCCAAAGCGTCAAGATTGAGGTAGTCAGATTTTTATATCGCAGAGACTGTCATGATAACGTTTAGCGCGCGATGTGAATCACGTAGAGAATTGAGTTTTCATGAGCGGGTGGTTTGAATTCACGCATTAAGAATCATTAAATATCTTCGTAAGGAGTTAATTTCGGTAATTTTCGTTGTGTGCATCGTGTTTTACGTAAAATTTTGGTTAAGAAACATGTATCAGAATGCTGAAATTCGTACCTTATCTAGTGGTCCATTATATGAAACCTCATTCAACGCAAAAAATTGTACGTTTGAGTTGTCTGATTAATGATCAAGCGATTTCATTTTGTACATTTGATATTTTGAAATTACTCGAATCCAGGATGATTACAATGACTTAATATCCCCAACAATGTTTCCATACCTGCTCATACCGCAGTCTCTAAATACTGCATTAGATCCTTATCTAGAATGGAATACTTACGTTGTTTAATTTTTGATTGAACAGAGCATCGAATGGCCGTCTGCACTTACTACCGGATGTTGGGAGGATTCCCCTCACAGACGCCATCTTGATCGAGGATCCGTCTGAACACGAGCTTAATAAAGAAGACAATGGTAAATATCCGCCCTTATTAAGCCAATTACGTGAAGTATCCTTATCTCTAGTTTTAACTGCCTGAGCTGATTATTGAAATTGATAGACAAAGCCATAGACAACGAAGTCGAAATTGGAGCCATTCCATTTGTTGAAGCGGGTATTCATGACAGACTATGCACGGAGAAAAAACTTCGTGCATGGGACCCGAAGTTGAGGTCATATGGATCTCTGAAGTTTTCGGATCACACATCCAAAAACGTGAGGTCCAACTGCTGAAGTTCGGGTCAGACACCTGAAGTACTTCGGTATGTACCGAGTACTTCAGATGTGTGACCCGAACCCTTCAGTATGTACCTAAGTACTTCAGATGTCTGACCCGAACTTCGGCAGTTGGACCTCAAGTTTTTGGATGCGTGATCCGAAAACTTCCTCCAGAGGTCCACATGACCTTAACTTCGGGTCCCATGCACGAAGCTTTTTTCTCCGTGTAAGGGGAACATGATGATCTATAACTTGGTCGAATACGTGAAGTATTCGCATCTGCAGTTCAATTACCAGAGTTGCGGACTAATTTTTGAAATGTATAGACAAAGCTTTAGACAAATAAGACGAAGGGAAACACTAGAGCGATTCTATTTGTTGAAGCAGGTGGTTGTTATGGTCTATAAGAGGGAAAATAATGGCCTGTAACCACGCACGGCCGCACGGGGTCTCTAATGGGTTGCCGTTAGTTTTTTTTTGCCACTTTTGTCCATTGCAATCACCAGCATCCACCAATAGGATCCTTTCGTTTCTCTTCGTCCTCTCTGTCTGTAGCTTTGTCTATCTATTTCAAGAATCAGCCCGCTGAACTGAACGCTCTCCCTCAGTCTTGCACTGAAACTCTTCAGAGTTTATTTGGACTGCATTTTGCAACAAGGAGATACAATTTCTGGCTCTTAGATAAAAACACTTAGTCGCAAAGGGTAACTACTTTCACATACGTTGTTTTTGAAATGAGCCAGAAATTTTAGTTCCTATTAATTGCAAAATGTGGGCCATTTTAGCTTCAATTTCAATTTTCGGTGTTTCCTGACTTTTCCTTCTAGGAATAGTGTGCACCCAGCACTTTTATACATGGCCGGATTAAGAGGGTGGCCGCATGGGCCGCGGCCCATGGCGGCAAATTTAGGGGGCGGAAAATTTTGCATTTTTTTTTAAATGTAGGTATAAAAAAATCGGATTAAAAAAAAATAAAATTACCTACGAGAGAAGGTGACAAAATTTCTTTTTCCTGAGAGTATAGTAATTGCTAATTTTGTCGTCTTTCGGTGATACAAGAGACTGTACCTTTAAGTGGATTACATTTTGCAACAAGGAACCACTATTTCTGGCTCTTCCATAAAAGCACCTTACTGCAATGGGAAACCAATGGTATGTATGTTGTTTCTACAATGAGCCAGAAATAGTGGTTCCTTATTGCAAAATGTGGTCCAATTAGTCGAATAAGAGAAACCAAACGCGCAATTTGGCGTGGAGCGGCGCGGCGCAGAGAGGAATGATGACGAGGACTTGAGATGAAAAGAAGAAGCCCTCGGCTCGGCGGTCGGCATGTAACACATATTAGCGCCTACAAGGCTGCCTGAATACTTCACGCATTGCGTCAAACACTGTGCGATCAGCAGCGGTCGGCGTGAAACGCATAGCGCCTACAAGACTGCATGAATACTTCACGCATTGCGCCAAACACGGTACGGTTGGCGCAGCGCGGCGGCGGAAGTTAAAATAGTTGTACCAAATTTTGTGTTTGTTCTTTCATAATTTTTTCGTTCATTTCTTATAAATGGAAGGCCTTGTCCACACATAGATAGGTTTACGGAACTTAACTTTCGCGCAAAGTTCCGTGATATTTTGCCAGTAGTGTTAATGGGACTTTCGCAAAAAATGTATCCAACACGAGTAAACGTGCCTTATGCACCCCTCCCCCTCCGGCATGTTAACTTGATGGCTTTTATTGATGGTTCAAAACGAATGAGAAGGAGGCGGTAAAAAACAGGCGGCCCATGGGCGGCGAGTAGGTAAACCCGGCCCTGCTTTTATACCATTCTATATCTTCGGTTCACATTTGTATTGTTTTTCTCTTTAATTAATATTTGCCAGTCATTTGCAGGGAAAAACAATTTCTGGAGTTTCTTGCTTCGATTTTCCAGCAGAGCGGTGTGGACCCAGCATTATTCTACCACTTGTTATTTATTTATTGTGTCATAAGTTAATGGACATAAATGAATTCTATGTTGATTTCAGGGGCTACGCACTCAAGTCCTAGCCACGCGGCAGGTGGGAGCGAGGACATATCAAAATCACCGTTGCACAATCATGACTTCAAACTAATTTTAGACTCAAAGACTGGAAACAATTCATTTACTCTTCATTTAGTTGCTCCATCGATGCAAGAAAAGCAAGCATGGATCAGTGATATTAGTCAAGTACGTTATTCTCGTTTTTTAAGGGGCGGAGGGGGGGGAGGATGCCGTTGGTATTTTAACTGCCACTGCACTTTCAACTAGAGTCAGTGCTCCGCAAATTTCGAATTGAATCCTCCTCGTGTGCTTACTTTCTCTTCTGATAAAGCTCTAGAGATGTCAAAAGTCAATCTGGTACTTAATCTTATGCATTAATTCCGCTTGTTTCGCTTTTCCTCTACGGAAGAATAAGGCACCAAAATATGAAAGCATTTAGGCAAGATTACAGTTATCTTTGCAAGTAGTCATGATATTATTATTTGAATACTGAATCTAAACCGCAATATTGAAATAATAGTAGTTTTTCATTCAATACCTTGATTTACTATTATTGAAGCAGTGCATCAATACCACAGCTTTTAACTTTGAGAACTTAAAATGTCTCTCCTTTGGCGTTAGCATATATCTTGATTTCCTCATGAGCCCCAGAAAGCATGGATGTACATGTAGAACAGGGCTCACTTGGTAATTGAGATTTCTGTGTTCAGCACTCCAGCAAATAAGTTTTTCTTTACTCGAATCCACAAACATTATGTTGATTTTTATAAAATAGCTCTGTTCAAGCCTTTCATGACGATATCAAATATCATCGCTTACGTTTTGGCATAGTGAGAAAAACAAGAATCTTCAAATTTTACGTCTGCATGAATACTTTCATATACATTGGAATGTTCATCAATGTTTCGTGATGTTATCTAATGACTTGCCCGTGCCTTGTCTTTCAGTGTATCGATAATGTTCATTTCAATGATTTGCTTTACAATTCACTATCCGACACATCTTCCGTGACGATGCCTCAGTCCATGAAAAACGATCCAAAACTATTCAAGAACGACAAAGACATCAGATTTAGCCGCACGTTAAATTCATGTAGGGTAAGTTATAAATCATGCTCGTTTTTCATTTTTCCTGGGCTAAATTATTTTTTTTAGAAGCCTTATGACTTCCGATATGTATTCAGGCGGATTTTGTACATGGTTACAGAAGCAAAAGACTTTTATAAACACAGAAATAAACATTTCGGCTACGACGACTGGCCTTAAGTATACATATGGAACACTAAACCTTTAAATGTATTACCCATCTTCCAAATTCTTTGGAAAGACTTCAATAGCCTCGCATGCTGAATGTGTATAAATAAAATAACTGACTAACTTAATGTATAAATGTATTAACAAACCGACCAACTATGCATATGACCTAACGTTAACAGGTTGCTCACAACCTCAATCCTTGTCATTTCAATTTTTTCCCCTCTCTGTTTTTTAAGTATCCGACGCACTAATTTTAGACTCTTAAACTTTTAGGTACCTCAAATTACTTACGCAACTCCTCAAAAGTTGCTAGAAAGGTTAACGGACTTAAGGTTCCTGTCAATAGATTTTTTAAATACATTTCTGCTGACGTATCGAGTTTTCACCGATGGCGTCGCAGTGTTAGAGGCTTTGAAGAAGGTGTTCTACACAGCGGATCCGCCCGACAGTGACACTAACGTCGCAGGCTCCATCATGTGAGTATCTTTCCAAACCTTCTCGACGCATCTTGATTTTTCTTACCTCTTGAGCTTCAAAGAAAAGGTTGACCTTTGCATTAAATCGTTTCTGAAATGAAATTGGGTCTCTCTGCCTCCATTCTGTTTAATCACTAAAACAACTTCATTTTTTTCATTTTCTTCTCTAAGACAGTGAAAGGTGAAGTATACTCATATTTTGTCAACAAATTTACCTGTTCTGCGGAAAATAGGTAGAATTTATTGCATGTTCATGACACGTTTTTTCCTCAATTCAATCCCATTATACGTATAAATAATTGATTGTAAGTGAAGTACTAACAAAAACTTTGTAAATATAAACCAAAGTTTCATCGAAATTTTACGGCGAAAACTTCGGCTCCTCGGACTTGAGACTTTGGTGTCCCTTAAAAGCTGAATTTCTTCATCCATTTAGGCAGCTTTGGAAGGAGATGTCCATCCGATGCAACGGAAGGGTGAAAAGCAGTGGCGAGGTGTGAATGATCGATTATCGATATTTCTTCATTTGAAACTACGGTAAAAAATCGATTATTGAGGTGTTCATGGTGAACACCTCGTTTATCGATCCTTTTCATAGGTTTAAATTGCAGATCAATCGATATATTGCAAAGCACGCCACTCCACTGGTGATAAGAAAATTATCACGTTTGGGTTGGTGTGTTGCTTGTGTTCAGATTAAACCGGACCGTTTGGGACTTAAATCACTTGGAGGGGGTGTTCCACCCTCTCAAAGCTTGTCAGATCCCTTCCTGAATGTGTTTCGTTTGTCTGTCAATTACATTGCGTTGAATTTCCGCCCAATTCGATTCAATCAACATTCTCGAGCAATCAGGGGTTCTTAGGATTTTAGGCTTTCTCAAATCAATTCAGCGTCTAAAAGTCATTTCGCTCCCTTTTAAACTCCTCGGAAATCACATTTAGAAAATGGAATGTGCTTTTGGGGCCGACGGAAGCTTCCTTTAATATCGAGTCGAGGCAAACATGCTTCGAAATCGGACGCACCAGGGAGAATCCCACCCTGAGGGCATTTTTTAATTTAATAGAACATCAGTGCGATCTTGAAACCATATGCTGCATCCATTTCGTTCCTGAAACGCAATGATTGCGCCAGAGCCGGCAAAATAATTAATTACTGTCTGCACGGGCTCAGAAATACACAGATGAATGCCTTTAAATCAAAAGGACGTATATCCGTTATGACATGAGCACGGAGATCCATAAGAGTACACGCACAAAAGGACTCGAGTCAAAATATGTATAGTTTTTTTCTGATTTTGTCCACATTTTATGTGGAAATTAGCAGCCGTCAGCAAATTATAATCTATTTGAGTTGAATATAAAAAAGGTAAAAATCCATAGGCAAAGAAACCAGATAAAAAGCGCCGACTTTTATACTTTGAATTCAAACAGACATTTTTTCCATCCCGAATATCTGGTGTCAACAGCACACTTGCGCGTTCATATGGTAAAATCAGCGACTTTAGTCGGGTTTAGTTCGGATAGGCAACTAAACTAACCGCCTGGTAATGCGGAAAGTATCACCGAATTTGAAGGCGCTTCGAGCCGAGATAATATACGATTAAACCTCTCCCATGCCGATGCGAATTATTACAATCTCTCGAATTAACACGCATGCCGCTTGCAAATAGGGCTGTCCCCGAACCGATATTTCGCTCGTTGGTTCGTACGAAACGATCGAGCGATCATTTCGTAATCGTTCACTTCGAAAAAATCGTTTCGAAAGCCTGTTTCGATCGAAATCTGCTCGATTGAAATCCGTTTTGATTTTTTTTTTTTTTTTTTTTTTTTTTTTTTTTTAAATTAAGTAAAAATGTACTACTGGCCCTTACGCGGCATTAATTACGGGGAGTTAATGTTCGAATAAAGCTAATCTTAAAACTAATGTTATAAAAATTTTTTTTAAATTTTTTTTTTTTTTATTTTGAACAAATTACATTTTTTCGATTCGAGCAATCTCATTAGGATAGGTCCCCGTGGGACAGCAAGCAGCAGACGATCGAGCAGTTCGATCGAGCAGTTCGATCGAGCAGTTTCGATCGAAACAGGTCTTCGAACGATCGTCGAAATAATCGATCGATCGGTTCGGGGACAGGCCTACTTGCAAATCGTCAGCGTTTGCTGGCTACACGCAGCATCTATTCGAGGGGATATTTCTAGTGAGTGTGGTTGAAAGAGGCTTTAATCTGCGTGACACTTTCACAAGTTTCATTTTTTTTCCGGTGTTTTTGACAGGTCTTTGGAGGGATACGCAGGTGCGGATGAGAACATGTCATGTCTACAACTGCGCGACCCGTCAGAACGGCGTCGCAGTAGTTGCATCTCTCCACGCAGAGTCAGTGGCGCCAGCTCTGTCTCAGGTCTCTCAGGTTTTTCACGATTTTTATCAATTATTCTTCCGATTTTACAATGTAGATGATTTGGACCGCGTTTAACAGAAAGGAACCAAGCCACATCAGCTATTGCCAATTTTAACTGGGCAATTTAATTTTTTACGAGAAAACGTTTGTGCGGATCCCTTTGAAAATTTTAAGGAATTTGCTTGGAAATGGAATGAAAATTTGAATGGAATGGAGAAAATTCACCGAAAAATAAAAAAAAAATCACGAAAATTCGCACAACTGTTTTCATGTAAAAAATTAAATTAGCCAATTAAATTTGGCAATAGCTGATGTGGCTTAGTTGCTTTCTGTTTAACCATTTGAGGTATTGACGTGTTAATGACGAGAGCAGTTGGCTGTTTATTGAAATTGATAGACAAAACAACAAGCAAAGAATAAAAAGTGAGTCATGAGAGAGAAATATAGGTGCGCAAAAACGTAATACATGTTGTTAGTTTCCCTCTGCAGATAGGTGATTTTATAGAAAAGCCAGATATTGTGATCATACATGGTAGAATTTTGTCCTATTAGTCGAACTCAGAGATGATAAACGAACCAGAACATGGTGCATATCGATGAATTTAATTAATTAATTGGTACGTTTTACATATCGACGGTGAAACTACCATACCACGTATCTCGTTTGCAGTGTTTCAAAATCTCTGCCTCCGTTTTATTTTTTTTAAAGGAAAACGATATGTATCATACCTCGTGGTTTTCACATGATTTTTTTCGCACAGCGAAGAAAAATCTCGCAAGTTTTCAAAAATTGACGTATACCAGTTTTCCAATTTAAAAAATAAAGTATAACAGGCAGTCTGCAACGTCGCAAACCGAGATACGTGGTCTTATAGTCTCACCGTCAATATATTGTATGTTATCAAGCAATGTAGGGTTCGCATTGAAATACAAAACGTTTTATAGAAATGTTGTAATGGAGAAACCACTTAATTTGATCGAAAAATTTTAAATCCTACGTATTCCTCGCACACTAATCATAATGCGATATCATTTCAATCACCTAATAAATATTTTGTAGAATATTCATTTGTATTTTTACTTATCATTGCGTATGTGTAATCGTCGTATTTGTTTTGTTTATTTTAGGATATGGCTCCGAGAGTGACAAAGACCGTAGTGCTAGTTACGATTCTCAAGGTTATTCGAAGATACCAAGGAAGCAAAGTTTCTGTCGATGTGAGTTTGATTTCCTCAAAAGTTATAAGATTGTAAAATGAAATGATTACCTTATTAATTTCAATAGTCTGTTATTCAGTGGAAAAAAACACATTGGATCCAGAGTCCAGACTCTTGAAAACATCGACAAGAAAAAATACTCTTGATTCAATCAGATTTTTGCTTAAATCAAAAGGAAATCCGCTCAAATTAGGAGCCTTGGTTCTTGATTTAAGCAAAAATCCGATTGAATCAAGAGTATTTTTTCTTGTCGATGTTTTTAAGAGTCTGGACTCTAGATCCAATGTGTTTTTTTTCCAGTGTTTCACATTTCAGAATAATTGATTTTACGAATACTTCAGTTTTAATTTTACACTTGATAAGAGAGCGAATTAATAGAGGAGAATTAATTTTGTATTTTACTGGAATATTACAGAGCCTGTTTTATCATTAACATGATTTAAGGGTTCCAGATATGTGAGTAGGATAGCACTCACTCGTGATGTAGTCATGTCAGGGTACACTACTTTTGTCAGTGGCATTCCGCCACTTGAATTATTTCGAATTCGGCCAATATTTAAATCCAATGGCATCATGATTGCTTATTTTTCTTTTCAGTCGACGAAATCAAGGAAAGTTGCCAACAGTCGAGCTTCACGAGTCCGACTCAATCGCCTCGTCGAAAAGTGAGCATCCGCGTGGAACAAGCCGACCAGCAGACCCACCTCACACCACCCACCATAACCACGTCTGCCAGCAATGAAACTCTTATAGGTAAAGTTCCTAAATATCTATAACACAGTCAACGCGTTTTTCACACGATTTGAGAGTAGTAAATGTCTCGCATTCACACTTTTGTCTCTCTTACCAAAAATCGACACATGCGCAGATATAGTTCTCTAGGTGGTGAGAGAGCATGCATCTAACAGGACTCTCTTGCCACCCAGGGGTGCACTTTTACGTGCCCGACGAGTATATGTGTCGCAGGCAAATAGTAAAATTAGGCATTTAGTCAAATGCCTAGGCGAATAGCCAAATATTCTAGCTAAGATAGAAATTCTGATTCTTTTCCTAATTTTAGACAAAATAATTAAATGACCCCGTAAGAAAAAATTATCAGTACGAATTTGCATCACAAAATAGTGTTTTAAACGATTTTTAGCTCCTGAGTAAATACTTATTTTGAAATTTTCAGCATGTCAGAGAATAAAACATTTTTATAATTTCAACATTTAAAAATATGAGAGGCAATTCAAGAGGAAGAGACAAAAAGAGTTTGTAGGATCGATGAGATATTTTTCCACACATATTGAAAACTCGTAAGCTCTCCGCCATAAATTCACAAAATTTTGTAGACAATCAAAATTTAGCTATCTGCTTAGGTATTTGAGAAAATGCCTGATTTCACTTCTGTCTCTCTGTGCGCAGTTCTCTCTGACGCCTTCAGAGAATCAAGTATGTAATGCGTCGAAATCAGCACGCACAACACGTCGGTAACAACAATTGCCGCAGACGCAGCTGAAGGCGAATTGCTTTCGCACATAAAACGCCTTCAGAGAATCAAGTATGTAATACGTTGAAATCAGCACGCACAACACGTCGGTAACAGCAATTGCCGCAGACGCAGCTGAAGGCGAATTGCTTTCGCACATAAAACGCCTTCAGAGAATCACGTATGTAATGCGTCGAAATCAGCACGCACAACACGTCGGTAACAACATTTGCCGCAGACGCAGCATAAGGCGCATTGTTCAGTTTACAAAAAAGGGTAAAAAAATGGTATAATATGGACTGAGTTCAGCAGAAAGGAACCACCCCATATTTTGGAAAAAATTGATTTATGAGTGGTTTTAACTCAACCACTGCTCTACTATCTATCGCCGAAAATTCAAAGTTTTTGTTGGAGCAAATTTTGTAGAAATTGAACTTAAAGTTTTTATATCACATTGAGTCTTATGCAGGAGCCAACCTTTAAACCTCTTTTTCTCGGTTCGATCGCGATGTGGCTTGGTTCCTTTCTGTTAAACTCCGTCCATATGCATTGTGAATTTTTCACATCTTTGATTTTAATTTTGTTTCTGTTTCATGAAAAATCCAGACGGTGTCCCTCGGAGCTCCTCCTCCTCGCCAAGCAACGTGAGTTCGGTGACGTTGGTGGGCTCGAACGGCAGCACGAGCAACTTGAGCAGCGTGACCCTGGTGCCCTCCGCGGAGAGCCCGGTCGACTCGAAGCCCGGCGACCCGCAGACCTCCATCTCCTCCTCGAGCTTATACACCGCCGCCTCCTCCTCCTCCACCCACCAGGACCCCGTCTCCACCCAGCCGGTCATCAAAGAGTGCTTCCCGAAAAAGTCCGAGAACTGCCTCTCGCCCAAGGTCACGAAAACCAAGAAGGGGACACACAACGTCGACCCCAGTGTAAATAGTGTACGCAAGCAATCCGTCAACCTACATCTCACGTCCGTCGGACAAACCGGCTCCAACTTCCATCTGTGAGTATTGAATACTATCATCACTCGGTGTTCCTCCGTAATTTTATGAAATTTTGCAATGGACCAGTAGACAAGGTACGAATTTAAGCATTCTGATACATATTTTTTAACCAAAATTTCACGTAAAACACGATGCGCACAACAAAAATTACCGAAATTAACTCCTTACAATGATATTAAATGATTCCTGATGCGTAAATTCAAACCACCCGCTCATGAAAACTCAATGCTCTACGTGATTCACATCGTGCGCTGAACATTATCATGACAGTCTTTGCGATATAAAAATCTGGGAACCTCAATTTTGACGCTTGCGGGCTCAGCTATAGCAAATTGCTTATAATTGGAACAACACATGGTGGGTTATGGACAGTGATCGATTGAGAGGCTAGCTGAAACTGTTGTGGTGCGCGATTTGACTCACGTAGAGCTTTGAGTTTCTTGTGACCGGGCAGTTCAAAATCCACGTAACCAATGTGAAATAAAAAGGTTAATATCTTCATCAGGAGCTGGTTTCAGTAATTTTCGTTGCGCGAATCGTGTTCTACGTGAAATTCTGGTTAAGAAACATGTATCAGATTGCTTGAATTCGTACCTTGTCTAGTGGTCCATTCTACGTCAGTGGTGATTTGCGGGTGTTGGTAGCATTTGGTCTCGTCCTTCTGAGAAGCCTGCCGAAAATTGGTTTTTTTGCCCCTTTCTGGGCGAACTTAGGGCTGTTATTCAAATGTGGTCTATATGATACCTCATGATAAGACGAACCGCCAATGAAAGTTTTAGCTTGGACTCAAAGCTTGTCTCGGCAATTCAGCGCTGCAAATTTGATATTTAATAACATTGAAATATGCTAATATATTGAAGTATCTTGGTTGAAAAAAACTACGGTTTTAGGAGAGGGGGAGAGGTACAGTAATACCAACTGATGACACTGTTAGAAGCCAAGGGTGTCAGGAGTTAATCAGCATATGTTCCGAATCAGAGAATGAAAAGTAATACGTGCTGAACAATTTTGATGATAATTTAGCAAATGTTGGCAAAATTATTGTATTTTCTCCTGAAATCCTGTTTTCCTAAAAAATATCAGCACTTTTGAACTTTGAGCTGAAAGTTTTTGAGGTTTTGTATTGATTTTTCAAGAATATGACTGAAGATTGAGTCACTGTTTTATTTTTGATTAATTAGACTACATTTTGCAACAAGGAACTGCAATGTCTATTGTCTAGCTCAGTTTAATAAAGGCTTATGTACAATTGGTTTCCCCATTAACATGTGTGTGTTTTTACGAACTAGCCGAAAATTTTAGTTCCTAATTGCAAAATGTTGTCCAGGTGGAAGTTAATAATCGACCAATAACAGTTAATCAAAAGTTTAATAATCTATTATTAATCAATCGCTGATGAAAAAACAAAAACTCAACTATCGATTGAGCTGGGTATTTTTGGGCAATTTGGGACTTTGATGAAGACGCAATGGTTACTTGTTAAACAGGGGTGACGGGCAAGGAGTGGACTACCGGAGACGAGCTTCTGAGAGCGTGGTGAGCGGGCATCCGAACTACCTCTCCGGCGCCGGCGCCAAACAGAGCATCGTCGTCGAGGACACCAGCAGTGATGCCGAGGACAACCGCTGCTTCGAAAACTGGCAGGCCTCCACCTCTTCCAACTCTCGATCCGGCTCAATCATGAGCACCACCTTCACAGTGAGACATTCTTCAAATTTCCATCACCCATGTGGATTTTTTTGTTAAACGGAACCAATTCCAGGATGACCCACGTTTTCCATTGGCAGGGATGAACTGGACGTATTTCTATCAGACGGACCTCAGCGCCATAGGGGGAGGAGAGGGGGACTTGGATTGGTGGGTGTTGCGGAACGCGATGCTCGTTCCTCCTATACTCGCAATGCTTTTCCGTGGCGCTTATTAGGTCCGTTCGACAGAACGCGCTATCCGGGATTCTAAAATATTCAAAAGGAACTCAATTTGGCGCTTAGTTCCGTTTGACAGAAATACGCCCAACTCATTTTAATATGAACGTATTTCTGCTAAAAAGAACCAGCAGGCTGAGTGTCGAAACTGATAGACAAAGCCATAGACAAAGAAGACGTGAGGAGTATAGAGCGATCCTATCGGTTGAAATGAGTGGTTCTCATAGACTGAAGGAGAAAATGATGGACCAACTATAGGGTCTCTAATGGGTTGCCGTTAGTCTACTACTTACCTCCTTTGTCTATTGCAACCACCCGCTTCTACCAATAAGATCTCTTTTTATCCTTTTTCCTTCTTTGTCTGTAGCTTTGTCTACAAATTTCAACAATCAGCCCGCAGTGACGTGTGGGAAAGAAAGAGTGCGCTCCTTAGTTGAGGGTCCTAAGATCGAATGAAAATTATGAAGCGCCAGTGATGTCAGCGGCGACGACCAAGACTAGGGATGACGGTCGGGGAACTTTACCTCATGAGCCGTGTCCACAACGCTCTCGTCATATGCCCACGGCTCATGAGTGCCGCAAAATTTAGCGCTTAACTCGGTTTGATTTAATGAAAAATCCCCTTTTTTTCATTTCCCAAAAGGAATCAAATTCGTATGCAGCTTTCTATAGCACACTCCATATTCCCAACCCGCCTCTCGTTCCTTTTAGCAGAAACTCGCTAAAATATTAAAGATCATCGATCTCCTCCGCAAAATGTGGTTCTTAAAAGTTATTTCCTGAGAAAGACTTATATTTGCATATAGCTGGCACACTGTTAAGAATCTGGGAATTCATTTCTCTACTATTTCTAAGTAAAATACGTCCCGTTCAGTGCGAGGTAGAATAACGTGCAATTTAAATAATTCGGAGTTAAATGGACTGTATGTGTGGTGGCCGCATCACCGCATTGCACATTTCAGGAGGGCGAAATTGTATTGGGCAGATTCAAATAACCGAAGTATGTTGCGGAAAACTGAAAATGTTCCGATAAATATCAGCAATATAGTTTACTTCATCATCTTAATTGGCAACGCTGGATTAAATTAAGGGGTTAGAGGAACAAGCAAAGCGCAATCGGTTTCTGTCGCATGCGAGTCATTCGACGAACTCTGAACGAATTTCATTACAACGCCTGGATGCAACTATTCGCGCTCCATGGATGTCCGTGTTGCATACGCTCGGGTTGAAGGCGTTTTGAGTTGCCGGACACTGCGCTTTGCCGTACCCTCAGCTCGGCACAGCGGCGGGCTGTGCTGATTGTGAGAGAGTCCAAAATGACAAAGCGTCCTCAATCCTTCTTTTATAGTACAAAGGCACATCTTAGACACGAATAGTTGTACAAAGGTTACATCGCGACATTGTCAATTTTCGGGAAATGCTTCGATTGTTCAATCGAGGCACCGTTGCACAGTGGAACGAGCTACTAGAAGAGGTCGGGCGTAGGTTTTTTTGGGCTAAAATTTCAAATAATCATGTTTATTTTGTCATAAATTCAATTTCAATGGATGTTTTTGAAAGGAAATTTCACGGAAGAACCAATTGAACCACTTTTAAACCATTTTGTATAATATTTTCGAAAATATAAGCTTTCAGAGTATCCAGATCATGTCCAACTTGTCCCATTGACTCGATCCATTGTGCGTGGGCCAGAATAGGCCTGGCAAAGAAAAAATTGTGAGGTGACCAGTTTGTTTTATTCGGGTCCAGTTAGGTCCTTGGTTGTCCTCAAAGAAAGCCTGAGGTGAGCTCGCCGACTCAAGTGAAGGGTGGAGGGATGACAAAAAATGGTCCCCCAAAAATAGCTTTTAGTGTAATATGTATAGCGAGAACTAAGCGGTGTAGAGAAAAATATCAAGGCATGCGGTGATTTTGTTCCGGACAACATTTCCTAGAAGAATCGTGTTCAATTTTTATAGTAAACCTTCTCCTTCTCTACCTCATGAAAACTCAAGTTTCTCTTCAGATTGACCCCAAAACGACCCCTCTCGGCAATTTACTGCATAAAACTTGTGTGCTGTCTGACCACAAAAATAATTGTGTAGTAATGTTTTTCCTCATTTGATTTCCGATTAAAATTCTTTCCACTATTTTCTCGTGTGACTATTATGCGTTCATAGCTCCTGCGAATATAGTGTACCTCACTACTGTCTGAAATAATTCACTCCAGCCTGTAGCAACATGAACCATTCCTTTTATAACTACTAAATCAGTGGCGTGGCGTGCTTCGCAATATATCGATCGATCTGTCATTTAAACCTACGGAAAAGGATCGATTAACAGGGTGTTCGCAGCGAACACCTGAATTATCGATTTTTTATCACGGATTCAAATGGGGAAATATCGATAATCGATCATTCACGCCACGCCACTGTATTAAATTTAACTTCAAATAAACGGCTATTTCTGATAATGGATTTTGTTCTTTTCAGGGTCACCACGGTCGGAGATCTGTTCCGTCCGAATACGACGGGAACCCGTCTCAACGGCCCAGCATTCAACACGACTCCCCTCAACACTCAACAAAATCGGGAGTCGTCATCACGTCATTTAGGCAGTCTCAACGCCGGTAATAGTTTAGTTCGTGTTTCGCAACACGTCATTTCCCCCTGTAAATATTAGTCAAAAATAGTTTGCAGTAGCGGTCTTGATTGTAGGCACTTCCCCGAAATCTCCAAATGTACATTACTTTATTTCTGAGTCTGACGCATGCGTTATTCTGCCGTGCGAAGGAAAAACGTCGTATGAGCCTTTAGGCGTTGCCGAATTTCCTTTGATAAATCAGGAATTTATGGGAATATTTATAAACATTTTTCTCCCAATTTTTCAGAGAATATCGTTCGTAATTTGACCCAAGTAGTGTTAAAAAGAGGAAAAATATTGATAAATTTCCTAAAAA